GATGACAATTCCCAGCCTGCCTATCAAGAGGGGTAGGAGAAGAAAGCWACTCCTACTTCACARAACWCWRGACCACTTAATCTAGTATGACCAGTCCCWGACACATCACTCTTGGATCATCAGACTCTGACAACTCAGACCTGACAACTATRACAATCYARATCCAGACTTCRACTCCTGACCAGATCAGCAGCAGTCACCTTCAGAGGGTCARAGAGAGAGAAGGWAGGGGACAYACACATGCATGCAGGTTCAGGGAAAGGAGGTGCTTCTCTCTTTTTGAAGATTCCGCCGATGATGCTCCACGACGCTCCGCACGCTCCAGGTAAGTAACTTCGTCACTTCTTCTTCGACCTGCTTCCCCCCACTACAAAACTCTTCTTCTCTTCCTCCCTCCTTCACTATACCTCCATCACCACTTCTTCTCGCCGGCCTTGATCAGACCAGCGCTATGAGTGTAGCGAGCATCTGCTCTGATACCAAAATTGCATGGGTCCTAGGGACCATCTCACGCAGATGTGTACATGTCATGCATCATCTTCCACACACAATGAACAGTAATCTGACAATAGACAAAGGTAGAGAAGAAGAGGACCGAGTCTCACAGTTTATATTATGCGAAATATGATTACAAAGTGTTTCAAAGTTTCCCTGAATCCAGCGCTCATAAGCGCAACACAAATCTCTGCTCAACTCATCAATATGCCTTCCAGGGCATCAGCGCTTTCCCTGCAGATTGTCTCCCAGTCATCAAGATAGTCATAACTCATCAGCGCCAACTCAGCAGATCACAACCAACTCAGGTAAGTGTCTCCCATAGTCAAACCTTGAATGCACACTCTTCGTCTCAGTCTCCTCCTCCTATGATGCATACACACACTCCTCTCACAAGGATCTACTCTGAATATTACTCATAGCTAAGTACCAACCCTTCTAATCTACTTACTAACTCGCTGGGCAGCTATGGCTGCATTCACTTCCAACATACAGGCTTCTTCCTCCCTCCAGCGCATCTTCTCCTTCAGCGCTGCTCCTCCTGACTCAGCGCACAAGTGCACCAGCACTTCCACGCATTGCAGCCAGTGGAGAATCTGGCAAGGAATGAGGCTGGCTGCCTCCTTTATACTCCTTGCTGGGTCTGCATTGGCTCACTTCAGCCTCTTTCCTTGTCCCAGACCCTGCATTGCATGTGTCCCAGTAGAGTCCCACTGAAGTTCAACTGCTGCTGTGGCCTTTCGACCTTTATTTCGACTAGAAAGTCTGGACCTGGACTGACCCCTTTACTTAAACCAGAACTGGGACTATGCCTATTGACTTTACTTTCAGACAGGCACAACTCTCAACGAACAGACACATTTACTGCTTGAACAGGTACACTGCCTACACGTACAGACACACCCTTACTCGGACAGACATGACATACACATCTCCTGGTGAGCAGGTAAGTCTTTTGACAATGCCCTTTGCCTTAGATTTAGATGTGCCTTTTGATAGAGAACTTGACCTTTGACCTGCTTTCACGTTTCTGAGCTCTGGCGAGATACCTTTTCACAATGCTTTACTTTTTCAAGGCCCATGCTGCTTTCATTTTACAAGGCCTGAGGCCTATATCGGGTAAAGGCCCTTTTACTCTCGCCGGCCTAGTTTCGAAGTCCTCTGAGAATCATTTACCTATCAATGATATGAATTCCTCTCTTTGCACTTTCATATGCAGACACAATATGAGGTGCAAAATCGAACAGTTCCTCTCTTATAAACGAGCGATCTTCACTAGGATCTTGATATGCAAACCTTACTTTATACTGTCGTTGTGGTCTGCCTCTACGTCCAGTGTGGTAAGTACTTTCCGCAATAATTTTATCCACGTCATATTTCCCATCCATACTTGGATGTATCGCCGATCGACGACTTGGGAAGAGCTCATTCGTTACACAAGGTAAGAGCTTGGATGCATGGAACACTGGATATGTACGTAGATCAGGAGGAATCTCCATAACATACGAAGGACCATCCACATCTCGAATTACGTCTAGAACCTGCCAAGGTCCTCGGTAGGTGGGTAGAAACTTCTGAGAGATGTTCTCTTCAGGAGCAAACTCTTTAGACCTCACCCAGACCAAATCTCCTACAGCAAATTGAGACGGGCGTCTGTGTTTATTTGCCTGTTCAATCATTTGATGCTGTGCTTTAAGTATATTTTCCTTTGCTTTCTCAATGTCTTTCTGATATTGGACTGCAAACTCACTAGTTCCTACAGGAAGCTTATGTACTTGATCAGGATTCAATCGATCAATGGGTCTGCGTGGACGCCATCCCAGATGTAACTCCATAGGAGTCTTACACGTAGATAGGTGCACAGAGTTATTATAGGCACTAGCAACCGTAGGCAGCTGTTCATCCCAATCAATCTGGTCGGGACGAATGTACATGCGCAAAGTTTGCTGCAAGATCTTATTCATTTGTTCAGCATGACCATTCGTCTCAGGAAGCCTACCTGATGACGTTGTCAACTTAGAACCATATACATCCATCAGTTGCTGCCATTGTTCACTTGTGAACCTGGTATCTCTGTCACTTACAATAGTTAAGGGATGTCCAAAGTCTTTTACCCAATGGTTAAAGAATTCCCGAATTACTAATTCAGTCTTTGCTTCTGCAGGTAAAGCTACAAAAACAGCATACTTAGTGAATCTATCCACTATGACCATTACTTGCGTCTTCCCATTTCT